GAAGTGAAATCATTAAAAAAAAATCTACATTTGGGCTTGTTCTGTATGCTTTCATTTCTTTCGCTCATCCCTCATTTTTCAGTTAATTTTTCCTCCATGGCAGACCACTAAACAAGTCTTTTACCATTTGGAGATCTACAGTATGCATTCAGTTGCTAAATATTATGCAATAATACATGTATTATACATTTCATAACAATAAAAAGAAAAAATCCACTGCAAACCCACTTGTTGGAAGACTTAAGCACCCTTATTTCACTGCAGAGAGTGCAGTGGTAAGTGGATTCTCAGGGTAAGTGGAATCCTACCTTCTCTTCCTGATGTAGTTTGTTGGCATTTTCCATCTGAAAGCTGTGTAAGGACTGGATTTTATCAATCTGGTCTCGCTGCTTCTCCAGCTCTCCTTGGAATTCATTCTTCTTCAGCTCAACTGCTCCTCTTTCTGCTGCTGCCCTGCGCACTCTGACTTCCAGTTCCATGACCCGATTCTGTTAGCAAGAAACAAGTAGAAATGCTCTCAAGTGACCGATTAAAAGGAAAACATATTCAAATTCCATGGGGAGAACTGAAATAAGTAATTAGGGAATCCATCTTCCTTCTTCCTGATCTCTTCTCCAATGCACTTTGGGACTGTCTCATTTTGGGGAAAAAAATGGAACTAAGAATACTAATATCATCAAAATATTTCCTCAGGTACTTGTATCTGCCAGTCGCTCACACATCCCAAACAGTCAATAGTTTATATAAGGCACAGACCACCAAAATTTCAGTTAAAGATTTTAGCAGAAATGCAAAGAAATCTAAAATAGTTCAGCTTTTACATATATGTATGTATATAAAAATGAAAAATTCTGTTTCCCCCCAAAACAGTACAAAATCAAAAGATGTCTACATCTCATGCAAGCAATTCTGATATCGCTGCACTCCCAGTGCACTTTCTAAACTAACTGAGAGAGAAAATTCATCTCTCAATAAATCAGTAAGTTTTTCTGCAAGACATGCGAAGCAGCTAAGAAAGGACAACTCTGTCCAACTTTTATGCACACAAGTAACTGCACATGCCTGCTACAGTGAGATGCATTTCCAAAGCACGCATTTCACGTGAGAAAGTCTCCCTCCTCTTGATGGTCCAAAAAGCAATGTCAAGCAAAAGAAAACTTCAACACTGTCTCGGAGATGAATACACAAATACAGACACACATAATGTAAAGGCATCCAGATAGATGTGGTTAAGGCTTTTCCTATTTTTCTTTTGACACATCAATTTAATTTTTGCAGGACATTGTTCTCTTCCTTGTTCCCAAAGAGCCATCAAAGTCTTTCTCTTAACCTCAAATTATTAGAAACAAAGATGACCAGGAAAAAAAGAAAATCAGCAGAACTGACCCCGGTAGAGCACAAAGCTCCTGATAGATGAAAGAACAGATATGATAAAAACCTGTGGCATCTGCCAAGACTCAGTGAAAATGGATCAACTCTTGCTACACCATACTACGTGGCATATTACTGCCTGTCTACTCCACAGCACTTCCACTGAGAGGGGAGGGAGCAGGGAGAGGAAAATGTTGGCAGTTGAGCTGCAAGAACACTTAACTCCGTTTTAGTCATTATAGCACCAAAGTCCTGCCAACAAATGAGCGCATTAGCAGGGCTTCAGAAGCTCCACTTGCACCTTGGGCTGTGCGTTACTCAGAGTGCCTGATTTACACAAAAGTGAACAGATTTTCAAGCTTGCTTTGGGGAAACAGTACAACGTAATACCATTAATCAATAACTGTGAACAAGACATTATGCACTGGGGTTACTGAGAGCAAGAATACAATCTGGCACACTAACGATTTTTCCCCCAGTATCAGCTGCAACACACTGGCACAGAAAAGCTTCAGTGTCTCAACACAGCTACTAACAGCTGGGAGCCACTATCCTGAGGACAGGGACTGAAAGAAAAACAGGAGCTGAGCAAAGTCTCAGAATGATGATAAACCCCTCCAACCGAGGGAAGCTTGAGACCTCAACTGCATGTGCAAAGGCATAAAGTCTGCTTGAATACTGCCAGCTCTGAGATTTAACAGGAGTTTGTTTTCTACAGCTGTCAAATGAGGTCCAAAACCCAGTTCAATTATGAAGAGGCAATATTTACTCCATCGGGGAAAAAAAAAAATGGGAGGACCACTCATCAGTCTTGCTTAATCAATAGATTATTCCACATAAGTTGTTTGCTTTCCTTGGGAAAGTTTCCTAAGAAATACCAGTTCAGATTGTTGGGCACCCTGAATCATCTGCTTTCCCTCTACTTGGTGGGAAGTGCACGCATGGAGGAGTTACCTTGCATCCCTATTTGCCCAACATACTGAAAGAAGTTGATCTTACTCTATACTGTGCAAGAATGGGTCATATGAGGAAAAAAATGTAGGGACATGGACAAAAAGGTGGAGGCCCCTTCAGATTGAGAATGAAGGACTGACTTACTTGCAATATATTGTGGAGGGAAAAAAAAAAATTGGATAGCATCTACCAGCTCTGCCAACTGAAACTGACTGTAAACTGAAGCAACATGTAACGGCTGAACACCTTGCAGGAAGGGTACAGCGCACGGAAGCACCATACACACAAGTTTTCTGGGTCCCTCACACCCCTTCTAAATAGTCATTGCTCCTTCTCTCTACATTGGTAAGGAAGAGCACTGGTAGCAGTAACCATTCCTACAATCCACCAAAGCTCCATTTCACCAGATGCAGGTGTAGGCAGCCTTCCTGTTGCAGACCACGCTTACTAACCACACAGAAGCAGTGGGACGGCTCACGCAGAGCAGTGGGACTGTTACCTGCAAATCCACGCTGCGAGAGCTGGCAATCCAGTAGTTGAAGCCCAGGACGATGATACACGCCAGGAGCGCCGCTACGAGCAGAGGTGGAGACTTCATCCCTCGGCGGCTGTTCCCAAACCCTATCATTTCAAAAAAAACAACAGTGTGGAAACCTGCAAATCAAAATACACACGTTACACGACATCCTTTCCCACAACTGCATCGTGTGTACGGTCAAACTCCTGCTGCGGCTCCAGAGCGGCTCAAGGGTCGCGCGTCCCGCCAAGGCTCTGCCACCACGGGGCAGGGAAAGGGCCACACCGCAATCCTGGCTTCTGCACACGTGAAAGCGTCACACCAGCTCACACACGTCTGTCAATACAATAAAATCCAGAACAGAACAGATCAGCCATTCTCCTACCACGTATTCTATCCAGCGAGCGAGTTAGACGATGCTGGTCTGCACATAAGATTAACTCCTTGCTACCTCGTTCTAGTAAGTAATCAGACTGATTATGTTGCTTTCAACTGGAAATTTTCCTACTTTTTTTTCCTGCTCAAATCACTGACAAATCAACAGGTACTGCTTTTGAGCCTTAGGTTGTTTCTACAGAGAAGTACGTTTTGACAAAAAAAAAAAGTGGGGACAATGCGCAATTGCAGTTCTGTCTGAAACAGGCTGTACCTGCCCTGTCGGAAGAAAAACTTTGATTTTAATGAATGCATTAGCATGTAGCTCAACAAATCCTCAAACTCCACTGGAACTCTCAGCACAGCTTGCAAGACAAAGTGCTTTCTCACAAGCTGAGATCAACTTTTTTTCCTCTTGCTCTACTGCATTCAAAAGCTAGAAACAATAGCACGGAAAATCAAATGGACAGCAAATGCCAACACACTGAAAGATGCTAACTCAATATGAAGTAGGTAGATTTAGTGCTGATACATCACACAGTCTCACAAGGTGTACGCTTCTGAATAAACCCGTTTCTTTTTCCCTACGGATGCAACTCACAGCTTGCACTGCATTTAAAAATGGATGACGGTGGCAACTCTCCGCAGGTTCACAGGAACCCACGTGGCAGGGGGAGCAGACGGCGCTGGTCCTTCCACCGCCCTGTCCTCAG